ATTCCATTGGGACCAAGTAGCACTAAATTGGTGACATAGAAACAACACTGTCAAGGAACGCTATGAACAGCGGAAACATGCAAGAGGAGGAGAGTTTTGTGTCGGAGGTCGTGGATGAGTCTCCTCCTTCATAAATTTTTTATTTCGAGGAGGAAAGCGGGACGAAGATGTTGTGGAAGAGGACGCCAGGGCGGCAGAAGCTTGGTTTGGTGTAGAAGGCTTACAGCCTTGCCTTGCAACGCTGCCAGTTCTGTTAGCTCTACGCCTGCTGAAGACACAGACGTCCATCCCCGTGAACACTGGGACGGAACTCAATGGGAAAGGAAATGACTCTTATTTCTTATGTCAACCGTTGCGTATATTAGCTGCGACATATGAATCAAGATGCTATGACCGAAAAAATTTGACTGACAGATGACCGTTTATATATGATTGGCCGAATTTAGGTGTACAAGCTGACGTATAACTAACTGGCCTGCAGAAGATAACGAGGGACAATATCATCTGATAAAGAGTCCATTTATACACATGTTTAAGCCAGAATGAGTTGACATTTAAATATGATTTCCCTATGACTTTAAGGAAGAAATAAACACATTTTTAACCCATTTCCCTCTTTTAGCTCCTGCTTTCATCAACCTTTATTTTCTCAGTGACCTTGAGCAAACATATTGGAGCAGACTGAGTTTGGTACTGTGATCCAGTTTCCTCTCCTGTCAGCACTGAACAACCGGACTCCTCCCTCTGGGCTGAGATGTTTTATTAGACAGATTAAAAGCAACCTGAACATGCATATATATATATATATATATATACACACACACAGAGGTTCTCAGCCATGGAAACCCGCAGGTAGCTGCATCTGCACCTTATGGGACTATACCTTATTGCATTATGCAATGCTTTAATAGGCTTAACAGCACACTACTCTGCAGGGGAGGGGAGCTGTTGGCCTCACTCAGATGACTCACTTCATTAAGCCTGCCTTCCTTGGAGCTTTGCAGCTTTTCAGAACTTTGCACACATTCCTGATAGGAGCACAGACTTCAAAAGGACATCTTTAAATTGCTCAAATAGACTTTATTTCATTCCTGCCATTTAGGTTGCATAATGCATTATTCAGTCAGTGGGACATTTAAACCGAAACGCGTTTCTGCAAGAAGTAATGTCCCGTTAGGTTGATTTATTTCAACCAAAGCACCTTTAATTTGAAAAAATAAGCAGCAGCTGTGCAGAGAAGGAGGGGAACCTGGGTTGACTGATCACCTGCGCCTCCTGGAAGCATCACTGCATCCTCCTCTCAACTATTTTTAACCAGACACGCCACCAGCTGCACGGAAGCGCAACTCTTTGCAAACATTAAACATCAAGGAAGAAGCGAGCCGGTCCCAATGAAAGCCAGGAACAGTCGAGCTTTGGACGCGGCGCGTTTTACTTACTTTCTGAGGCTGTGGATGGTGAAGGTCCACGAAGGAGACGCTCGGAGACGCTTCCCCGGCGGGGCGGCTGGCTGTGGGTGGAAATGTTTTCCTCAGCAGGCGTGTGCCGTCGCGGGAATGTACACAGAAGCAGACATGCGGAGTCATTTGACCTTCTCCCAATAGAAACTACCATCGGTGTAACGTAGGAGAGGGGAGGAGCGGACCGTACCAAGCGGAAGGTCCCAGCAAGCCCCGGGGTGGAGAGAGAGAGGAGAGGAGCTGTCATTCTGGGATGGGTTCAGCTGCAGGACCAGACACCACTGCAGCCTGTATGTTTAAAACCATAAATAAACAAAACCCAGACAGCTCCATCAGTAAGGAAGGATTAGGGCCACTGAAAAAACAAAAAAAGTTCAGTGATTTTTAAAATTTGATTTCAGTATAATATGAGACAAATGTCAGAATTCTGACTTTAATCACACAATACTGACTTTAATCTCACATTACTGACTTTAATCTCACATTACTGACTTTA